AGTCCCTCTGCCGCTAACTTCACTTCTCCCAGTGACTCCAATTTCACTTTTTTTTCATTTGCTTTCTCTCTTCTTTTCTTTTAAACTTCTCCTTACATCTCCCTTTACTTATTGAAAGAAAAACCTGGTGTGATCATGCCGGTTTATACGCTATTTTTAAACGTGCACCAAAACTTCAGCAGTGTCGTGGGTGACATTCTATCAAAATTATTTAGTAGGCTGATTTGTTTTTATTCGTAAATGTTTTCTTTAGGGGACAAGTCTCATTAACCAAAGTGCAAAAATTAAAATTAAAACAATAAAAATAAATACGAAAACCTCATTAAAATTAATCTCTGACTAGCATGTTTTGAGATAAAAGATCATTTCAACATCTGCCATTATTCCAGGCGCTACATGTTTTCAATACTAATGTTTTTCTACACATTTTTCAATACTAAGATGCTGTTGAAGGCAAGAACACATATCGGCATTTCAGATTAAGATAGTTTAGCTCCATCACGTTATCCCTGAGCTCAGGGTCCTAAGTGAAAGGAATTAAGGTTAAGGGTTACAACCCGTGTATTTCATGGGTGAAAATGCCTAAACTGTGCATTTAAACAACCTCATTTCTGTCCTCCTCTGCTGGCACAAGGCTATTCAAAGCCTGCTGTCAAAATACTTCTGTATGTCGTCCTAAATTAGACTAAATTGACTTTTAAAAGCAAATTGCATCCAATTTCTTTATGATTATTATGTCAGTATTGAAAACTGGGTTTATCTCCTGCATTTTCTGTTACTGTATGCAAGAGGGAGCAGCCTGCAAACCATCACAGATTGCTTTCTCCCACCAACCTCAGTCCTTTCAAGGCACATGGGGTGGGGGTTCTCGCTGTCACGAGGCTGCAGGCAACAAGGCAGCAGGAAACCAAGTACCTCAAGCAGAGGGCAAAGAGGGAAATCTCTGCTGGTGGTTTCCATGGCAATCAGACAACCAGAGCGATCTGCACACCGGGCCCCGGGAAGGGGCCAGCATCTCCTGGTGATCCTGCGCTTCGCACCTTCCACTCTCCCCTCGCTCAGCAGGGCACTGCCTGCCTAAGGTGCAGCTGCCAGAAATGATTCCCTCTGAGTTTCTGTCATGAATAACTGTGCTGCCCTGGTGACATCTAGAATCCCCCATTAGGATCCACACAGACCTCGACATAGGTCACTGCCCAAGTTGTCACACCTGTCTCCAGCCCACACGGCCACGCACCACGCAGCACAGCAGAATTCAAAGCTGTAATGAACAGTCTTGGGAAAAAAAATTGTTAAAGCTACTGTGGGTCTTCCACCTCTATTCAAATCACACAAGCAGTGTACCATGATATGCAAGCATTCTGTATTTTCTTCTGGAATGAAACTCAAGCACTTCTACTACCTGCATGCAACATAAATCACACTGTCAGTGTTTTTACAAGTTCTGGTCATGATTTGAAGCAAGCCTTTTACTTAAAATGACTCCAGTAGATTCTCTGACTATCACATCTTTTACTTGTACTTTCAAAGGAGATGATAGCAGTATCCTGGCTTAAATGACTGATCATTATCATTATTGATAATGTATTAATGCTTTGGTGTAATTTCACTCAAGAGTGTAAACTGTACTTACTGACCTTTGTGATACAAATAAATGAAATCAAATGTTGGTAGCTCTGGAATTCTAGGGACCGCTTTCTATGGAAGAATATACTAGTGGGTCACTTGCTTGGTTTGTATAATAGGCACTGCCTCTTGCATAAGAAATCACAGAAATATTAATGTAAAACGACTGCTGTGTCTCATAGTGTATTATCATATTATGAAGCTTTCAATAGATGATCTTTCCCATGTTCTTAGACAACCTTGACCTTCAGTTCTTAGTGGGGTGAATAATATTACATCACATCTAAAGAGAACAGTGTAATCATCTTTTCTATTTGCAGCACTAAGACAGTCAACGGTATTTGATACAATCAGCATGTGTCTTGATACTGAAGGCACATGGTGACAAGTCTAACTGAATGTAGTTATTTGGCTGTCATGAAATGCACCTTATGGTGATAAACTTCAGCCATAAAATTGGAAGACTATCACATAAACATGTTTCATGAAGAAATACACTAGCAGAATTCACTGCTAGTTTATAGCAGGAAAACTGCGTTCTATTTATTATGCTGCAATTTTTACAGTACGTCAGGTTCGAAAACTCATTACATTTTACAATGAAGTAATTACTGGGTGTTGATTCTTCTCCTTCAACCAACAGGTCTATCTAATTAGTGTACAATAAATTGAAATACTGCGATTAAGGATGTATGAGAGGATACTACGCCTGGATGCAGTTTCACTGTGCTTAGAAGCAGGGGGACTGCGCATCTGGTCCCCCACCATGTGCCTGGGGTAGGTACCTCCTGGGGCAATGCTCCATGCAATGCTCTGCTTTGCATGCTCTCCTCCATAAACATGGTGTAACACAGGCACTACGATAAGCATATGAAGGCAGTTCATTTCACACTTGTGTGTACTAAATCTTAAACTTGATACAAAACAGCATTTTCTTTTCATTACTTATCAGACTTTTTATCTTTTAGATAAATTTCTTCTCCCTGTAATCTTAAAGGATATGGTGTTCATAACACTTACTGAAGGTTAAGCTATAAAACTACCCAAAACAATAGCTTCAATAAACTCAGTCTTATCTTCAGCATAAGTCAGCCTCACTGCCGTGTAATGTTTCCAGCTCGGTATTTTATTGGTTATGGGGGATGTTCTGAGGCACAAGGAGCAGGAAGGTTTCTCAGTCCTAATGAAAGTCAACAAGAATTGGAAATACCTCCATCTGTGCTTTCAAAGAACCCCACAGTGTGTTTGATCAGCTGCCTGTCTAGGAGATTTTGAAATAGGGGGTCACTCTTCTACTAGATTAACAATCCTCTACTAGATTAACACTCATTAGCAGTAATGGAATGTGACTGTGCTTGTAAACCATTTCCCCAAAACAACATGACTATCTAAGAGGCTGTGTTCATCTGCTGTTTTCACGCTGCCCAGGTAAACAGTGGGGCAGAAATGGTCTTCAAGGAGTATTCGCAATGCAGTGGGTTACTTGGAACACATTTACCCTGCTCCACCTGCTCAGAGTCTGTAAACTGGACAGCATTACAGGAGGGGTACCCTGGAATGGCGGTAGAAGAAAAAGATTGATGCAAGCTGTGGTTTAACTATTCAGGCAGCAGAGCAGACACCTTTGGGCCACTGCAGCTCAGCATAAATGTAAACTACATAAATCTTGGCTGCTGTTCACGTATCTGCTAGAAGAAGAGGAAAAAATTAAATAACCCTGATTTTTTTTCCAGGTCAGAAAGGTTGTCCTCTCAAAATTATTTAATCTTTTCAGTATTCTTGCAGCTATTCATGGCATTAGACAGCTTTATGATTACAAAGATAATATCAATGCCTCACTTTTAAGTAAAACTTATCCAATATTAATCATTACTTGGTTAATTCAACAAAGAAAAATAATCACGAAGTCTCAAAGAAACAAGAATGTTGTTACAGGCCCATTACATCTACACATTAGTTAACCTCACTAGAGCTACTGAAGCTCAGCAGACATGATTAATACAACTAAAATGGGGTTTCTCCAGCCTAAGCTTTGACATTATTGTGTTATTATTTGCTAAAAAGCAGATTCTATTAGATGAAGCAAAATTCTCTTTTTCCTTTCAGAGAGGCCAAGCAGGGTTTTTGGTTGTCAAGTTAGGAAAAACTGAAACTTCATGTTGGTGACTAATTGGAAAATTTAATGAATTCTACCAAAGAACTGTTGATAAAACACAATAATTCCAAGACTGCTAGGAAGATTATTTTTCCTCACCTATTTTATTTCTTTTATTATTGATTCATATCCTATTAGCATGCCAAAATCCATTCCCATGTTGTGCAAATAATTAGTGAGATAACATATTTATACTAAAATGTTGTCTTGTCTTTTTGTCTGCACATACTGGAAAAAATTGTATCAGTCTACCTTTTAAAAAATAGAATATCAGATGTGCCATTGTTCACAAAGTGGGTAAAATCATCCGTTTCATTTATGTCCTTATAATGTACAAAACAAAAATAAAAATTGAGGGAAAACATGTAAGAAAAATTACACTGTAAGACAGTCTGACTATAGATAAGAGCTTTAGACGTATGAGATTTTCCTCATAGAACTGGGCATATTCACATGAAGAAAGTCATTAGAAAATGACAGATAAACATCAGGGCAGAGATCACTGGGGAATTATGATAAATTTCTTGCTCCTGTGATCATTAATCAAGAGATATAGGTGTTGTTGATCTCATGAGATAGGGGAATCCTGGGTTGCTGCCTCTGCTCCACAAATTATTAATATGTTCTCGCTTTATAAACCTTTCTGTTCTACTGTAGATTTAAAGTATTCCCTATGGTTAGTTAGAATAAATGAAACATCAAGAGATTAAAAAATCTGCAGATATTAAAACAGTGGCTAGAGAAGGCAATGTTATACCATGTGTCTGGCAAGTGAATATGATAAGCATCAGAAAGTATTTTTTGCACACTCCCTACCAAGCCAGTGTGAAAGATTTGCTTAGGTAATGACAGTAATGACACAGCAGCTTGGCAGGGTTTTTTTTAAGTGGGCTTTAGAATTTTTGAAAGATTTTTGAATTTTGGCTTTCAATTAATCTGCAGTCCTACGGGCATTAATTATAAATATAAAATGAATGTACATTTAATAGATAGGTCAGGACACAGTTTGAACATTTTAACCATGAGGTTTTTAGATTGCTGCAGTCTAGACCTGATTAGAGATTAAAAAAAAAAAAAAAAGAAACATGGAAACATGCACAAATAAGATTAAATGACTAAATCCCATCATGGTGGTAGATTAACTGTCCCAGGTGTTCCTTATGATGTGCCATGATGCTTAATGAGTTCCTTAATGATTTGAAAAGGGGAAGGGATAGTATGGCAACAAAATTTGTTAGGACACTAGGCTATATAGGTGTACAAGAACCTGATGTGACTGTAGAGAATGTTAAGGAAACTTATATAAGGTAGGTGAAAAGTCAGCATGATATCAAAGAAATTAAAAATCAGGCTGCAAAGATAAATAATCTGTTCAACTTGGAAAGCTCTAAACTGATTTTATCATCTAAAGGAGACTTGGGACATCAGTGTATACAGATCAATGAGCAACTCCAGCCAAAAAAGCAGATCAGGCATGGACTGTACAAAAGGAAGGAATAAGCAAGAATGTGGAAACTACTGTAATGGCAGCATAGAAACAGTGGCACAGCGTGAGAGATATGTGGCACCCAGTCTCCAAAAGGGTGCTGGAGGGGAAATACAAGAATTTTCCTGGAGAGTGTGCAATGGTAGAAGCTGTTACCTTACAAACAGAAATCTGTGCATTAATGTATGTTCTAGATCAGGTAGTTAATGATCCTCACCTTTTTCTTGTTTGTAAAGTGAAGGAGGCATTCGGTATAACCAAGAAGTAGAATGCTCGATACATTTTTAGTCCATTTGAGCTGCAAAATTCACTGTCATAGGAAATTATTGCGACTAAGAATTCAATAAGATAAAAGGTCTGAATGATCATATAGATAACAACAATATATAGACCTATCATAATTATTGATTTAAAAAAAAAAAAAAGTTCAATAGCTATTGCATAACACTTGATAGCCATGAGGTGCCTGTAACTTCCTCTGAAACTCAGGGTGCTAGGCCTATCATTTGGACAACAGATGTTGAGAAGTCACTTGGCATTTCTGAGCCTGACACAGAAAAATATTTTTAGTCATGACAAAACATAGCAATAATAGCAACTAAAATATACTGAGCTACATAACCTAATCTTTAAAATCCACTTTTCTGTTTATGCCTAGCTAAACACAGACAAGTAACCATAGACACAATGCCACTTCCTTTCAGCAGAAATCCCCATCAACTATAAATTCAGTCTAAAGTCAAGCCAATCTAGTGTTTTATTTCTGACTTTATACTTTCTAGATTTATTTTTGCCCACGTTCAGACTCGCTCGCACACAGGCACCCGCACCACGCTCCCCTTACCCTCTCCATGGCAGCAGCCAGGCTGGGCTGGAACCAGGGAGCACCACTGCCATCAGAAGGGGACCCCATGCCTTCACCCACTGTCCCCATACTCACCCATGGGCTTCCCATGGAGGCAGGTGGGTTTGGGCTGGGTGGAGGAGCCCGCAACCATGCTGGTTCCCCTCTTCTCTAGGGCCGAGGGGGACATCTTGGCACCTGCACCAGCCCATGTTGGTGGGGAACATTGAGGCAGGAGGCTGAGAGGGACAGGGGGGCTGTGGGACCCAAGGCCTGCTCCTGAGTGGAAGGTGGAGAGACAGGGCATCTCCCATATGTCTATGAGGTCTGTCTGTGGTAGTGGGGCTAAGGAAATATCCACGGGTGGGAGGTGGACTTCGGCCTGCCTGATGGAGAGTGGGCAGCGGGCTGCCCGGCACAGCATATCCTCAAAGCTGATAGCCAGCTCAGAGAGAAACACTGATAGAGAAGCTCTAAATTCTCCAGTGTAGAGTGTGGCACTCATGTAATGAGGTCTTGAGGTGCTCAACATTAACCAATAAATGTTTTTATGTGAGTAAAACAGTGGATTTTTTTTGGCCTGTGAGAGGCAGAAGCCTTCCCTGCCATGACTGCCATTACTGCATTTTCAAATCCCCAAAAAAAGGTTTTAAGTGGTGTTCTGCTGAGCATACGTTTCATGTAAAACAAGGTGGGGACAGATGACAGCGCTCGGGGAGGGAAGGAATGTTTCCTCAATATTGTACTTTGTTGGTTTTTTTTTTTTGACATAGCTACTTCCTTGAGCAGCTCCAACCTGTCAGAAAGTGTGAAAATGTCTTCTGCTCACATCTGAGAAAAAGATGCACAGCTGAATCAAGGAATGGCTGCGTAAGTAATTTTATTTTTTATGATTTGAGCCCCAAAAGGTCTTAAACTGTCAGATTTATTGTCTATCCAATTTTACGACTTTTAGTTGTATTTATTCTATGATGTTTACCATCAAATGTGTGTACGTGAGCTCTGGTTTGTAGGCTTTCACATTGCTAAATCATTTTTTAAGCTTTAGATGTAGCTTCTGCTCAACATCAATCCCCCGAGGTATACCATTAACATGAATCATTTCTGAAAGTATGTCGTGCAATATGAACTTCTTGTTGAGTCAATCATTCACTCTGATTGAAAGAAGTGATGACCTTCACAGAAGAAGCGTATTGCAGCTAAATATCCCAGGACCCTCTTCACTACTGTCAGTCGTGTCTGCTTTTGGAGCTTGTGCAGACTTAATCATAGCACAAAAATAGGCTGAAGATTATTTTCCTTTATGTGGTTAGGTCAGCAGAGCTTTAAATAAAAGACTGACAACAAACCCCCTCTACTGAGTCACAGAGACCACTTTATTTCTTGAGTGTTGTTTTAACAGTGGACTTAAAGAAAAATGTAAGTGGTGCTTTGGTCAGTTTGTTTCGTTTTCCTCAATGCCTATCAAATAAGATCTTTTTTAGAAGTACTGTCTCCTCAAGAGGTTTTACAGCAATGGGTGTTTTTTGTCCTCTTAGGAAAGAGGCCTAGATTTGCAAATGTACTCAGGCATCTCCCACCACTGATACTGTTAAACTGGACTGAAAGCCTGGATCCCACAGATCTGAACTTGCAACGTGGGATGAAAGCATAATGAAGATCATAAAGATCATAGTGAAGATCGTTAAGATCATAATGAAGAGCATAAAGATCAGTGAATTACTGTGAAGGCTGTTTAGTTAACTTATGCTTTAGCACAGCTGCCTTTCTAAGACTAGATGCTATTTTACATTAGCACCTGTTCCTGTACAACTACTCCAAAAGAAGAAGACTGGGTTAAAAAAAATAAATAGTTTTGCTGTTAAAAGGCATAGATTGTTATAACGGGTTCCATATTGGATGGCCTTTGAGATCTTGAATTTGTCACTCACCCTTCCTGTACATCAGCTCTTTCTTCTGTAAATTAGCTTAATTATATGTTCCTGCTTTATAAAATCAGTGGGAGGCCTGGTTCAGCCTTCTTCAGTTTGGTTCTTTCATTAATGATTTAATGTGCTTGGAGATTACTGGGTGCAAAGGTACATAAAAGGGAAGTTAAATTAAACAAAGATAGTCTAGAAAAAGGAAATAAAAATAAAACAGTGACAGTTCCACACACTTTCACAAAGTTAGTTTTTCCTATTTCTTGTATGCTGCATTCTTCAATGTAAAATATTATAGATATTTTCTTTTCCATTTGACAAGCAGAGAGAGTTTGGAGACACTCTGCAATTTGTGAATATAGCATTTTCCTTTGAAAATAATCTGATTTGAAAAAGTGATTATCTGCTTCCTAAGCAGTATTTCTGCTGCTGAAATACTATATTTCAACAAATATAAACACTTCAATGAGACTAAATATGAAGATTGCATTTGTGTAAGTTCACACTTGCTCTTAACTTCCAAAGTCATCAGGTACTGCAATACTTTCTACATTTGTATTTCTGAAGGAAGAAATCAACCTGTTTGTGTCTGAGATTTAACCAATGTATACAGGATAGTCTTAGCAGAAGGATGACAAAAGTGACACAATAACCTAATGACCCTATGTAAAATTTCTGTTCATTGTGTCTCATAGTATGATATTTTGGCAATGTCATTTGAAATGGTTTAGAGGAAGACACACACACACACACACACACTAAAGCAATTACCAAGTACATCTTCTCCGCTCCATCTAACACAACACAGGAGTTTTGTAGTTCAAAATTTGAGAAAATATATTATTAATATGACTCTGCATAATCTTATTAGTTGCTTAGTTGGAAAAGCATGTAATATTTACACAGATTCCTGCTACCAACAATTAAACAAACACTAATATGTTACTACTGCATTTGGAAGCGTATTTTTCTATAGTATGTCTGATGTACGAGTGAGAAAAAAATTAGATGGATGTAAAAAAAAATAAAAATCATTGACATAGTTTTTAAAAATAATGAATTGAGTGTTATTTCCAACAGGAAGTACCACACCCAAAGATAATGATTTAGAATTCAGAATGTTATCCTGTTCATTTCTTACTTTGCAGAGTGCACTAATGTATAGATATATCCCACTGTCATACATGCTGTTTATACCCAAAGCAATTTGATTTTTTTGTAATAGATATTGAAATGAAGGAGTATTCCTTCTGCATGATCACGTAGGACTATGGCATTTAAAGGTCATCATGAAAAGCATCTTCCAGGCACCTACTATCAACAGTAACCTCTCAGAGTATTGACTGATAATGATTATGTATTGTTAAAAGCATTTTCTGTCAAATAGAAATAAATGTTTTTCATATTGTTTCCTGCTTCTTGGATAAATAGAAAAAGATAAGATTTTCAGTATTTATTCTACTGTCTGCTCATGTATGTAAGCAGCCCCTTCAGAATTTAATCTCTACAGCAATATTTTCTTTATAGATATTACAACCTTGAATTGAGATTTTAACATCAAATACAGTAAATTTTAGTGTTCAGAACTGTCAACAGTGATAATAACAAAACATCCCTAAGGCTGTGTGGCAGCAAAGACTTTTAAAAGTAACAAAATAGATAACAAATCATCATAGACAATTGTCTCCTTCAATTTCTTGAGCCTCTGTTATAATATTTTCAGACTGCCCATTGAAACTAAGAGGAAACACAGGACACCTAATTGATAGCAGCTAGTTTTAGGTGAAAAGGAAAACTGACACGTAATCCAACGAGTGTAGGAAGATACTGATTTACTGTTATGCTGGAGGTTGGCTGGTTCCCAGAGAATGTCTTTGATCTTTTGGCCATCACAAACCTTATGGAATCTGTAGGTGTAACTGCTACTTTCAAGTCAGGCTAAATCAGGAAACAGTCACATTCCTCTTTATTTTGGAACAGTATCAGACTGTATACAAATCACAAAGCAGCACACAAGGCTGGGATAAGCACCAAGCTATGAGGATTGAGGGTGTGTTTCAGCACACCCTCAACAACAGTGGTTTTTTTTTTGGTTGGTTGGTTGGCTTTGCAGCTGGCAGGAGATTCCTGCTTCCCTTTGCTCCTGTTTGTTACTGCCGTTTTTTGTGTTTACTATCCTAAGTTGTGCTGCAGGGCTAAGCCAAAACAATGAAACAATCCAGTTGTGCTGCTATTTTTTATTTTTTAATAAAGAGGTCTTCCAAAAGCATGAGAAGGAATGATAAGCTCAGAGCACATCATTGATCAAGCTTGCAATGTGATCCCACAAACATTTGCACTGGCAGTTCAGAGTGGACTAACTACAGCATAGGTGGGGCTGAAGATGGGGGTAAAAACAAGTGAAAAGGAGCAAATAGTGACTTTGTTGCTGGATAAAATATCCATGGAACTATACGCTTGGGAGTTTTCCCTGGGGTCTGAACAGAAATGCAGAAACTGGGTGTTCTGATGTCTTTGTAAATATTTGTGATTCAGACATCACTACAAAGGCAGCAGGAAAGCCCAGAGGATAGCAAAGAATCATGGCAGCATGGCTAAGGGACAGTGTTTCAGGGCTGGGTACTGGATAGAAAAATTTGGAATTATGATTAGGGATTATGAGCAATCTCCTGTTGACTGATTCTTAATGTGTTCAGGCAAGCAAGAATTGATGCCTATTCTCCGAGGATAAACAAGTACATGAGGCAAATTTCTAATTATATTTTATTTCTTTTGTTGCTGGCAACAACTCACAGAACTCAAAGAATTTAATAGCTATTTAGTCTAAAAGATTTTCACTATTACGTACAGCACAACTGACAAAGAAAACATGACTAGCCCAAGGAAGTAGCTTCATTATTAATTACAGTAATTATTTATGATGTTTTTGTTAAGCAGTGACAGTGCACTTAGGACTGCATATAGCCAAACCAAATGCCCGAAGGACTGTGCGATGGAAAGCAGGTGCTGACCATCTGCATCTCATGTCTTTGGTGGATATTGAAAGTGTTGACAAGGGACTCTAAGCTGAAAAGGAAACTATTCATATAGGGAAAAGGAAACTACTCATAGAAGATGTCTCATCTTTTGAAATACTTTTATTTTTATAATACGTAATTGTTACAAAATTTGAATGCTTCAAAATCATTTATTCTTACAAATACTAAGCAAAAGAGTAATGTCTGTATTAATGAACTAGAGACTGAAATATGATTTATTAACAGTAATGGGAGACCTGAGGTTTAAATGCGACTCCCCACAGTCCTAATAAGTTCAACACCTTTTTTAGGGTTGATACACTTATTTTGGTTCCCTCCCCTTCACCTCACCTTCCCATCTTACTCCTTTCCCCAGTCCCTTTCAACAGCCCGTTCACCTGCTGTCCCCGGATTCTTGTTGCTGCTGTGCTGTAACTCATCTCTAACAGTTACATCTAATGAACTGCTCTTCATTTATTGGGAACCAGTACATTTCTTGGCCTACTCCTCATCTAAGAGGGTACATGGATTTTTCTAAACACTAGGGCCATGCCTTGGTCTTCACTGGCAGTCAGGCTTCCCACACCTCTCAAGTTACTGAACCTCTAGGCAGGAGCCGGGGGAGTGAAATCCGTACCACTGGAAGAGAAGAGCAAGCTCAAGACCACTGAACAGGTGGAAACTGAGCAGGTACAAGTGTATGGGAGCTGATGACATGCATCCTAGGGTCCTGAGGGAACTGGCTGATGGAGTTGCCAAGACAGTCTCCATCATATCTGAAAAGTCATGGCAGTCAGGCAAGGTCCTGTGACTGGAAAAAGGGAAACATTGCTCCCATTTTTAAAAAGGGTAGAAAGGAAGACCTGGGGAACTACAGACTGCTGAGCCTCACTTCTGTGCCTGGGAAGATCATGGAACAGATCCTCCTTGAGGCAATGTTAAGGCACATGCAAGACAAGGAGGTGATCTGAGACAGCCAGCATGGCTTCACCAAGGGCAATTTGTGCCTGAGCAATCTGGTGGCCTTCTGAGATGGAGTGACTGCATGAGTCAACAAGGGAAGACTGACTGATGTCATCCAACTGGACATCTGTAAGGCCTTTACATGATCCCACACAACATCCTTATCTCTAAATTGCAGAGAGATGGATTCGGTGGATGGACTTTTGGGTGGATAAGGAATTGGCTGGATGGCCACAGCCAGAGAATTTTGGTCAATGGCTCTATGCGCTGGTGGAGGCTAGTGACAAGAGGTGTCCCTCAGGGGTCCATCTTGGGAACAATGCTATTTAATATCTTTATCAATGACATAGTGGGATTGAATGCACCCTCAGCACGTTTGCAAATGACACCAAGCTGGGTGGTGCGATCAATACAACAGAAGGAAGGGATGCCATCCAAAGGGACCTGGGCAAGCTTCAAAGTGGGCCCACGTGGACCTAATGAGGTTCAACAAGGCCAAGTGCAAGGTGCTGCACCTGGGTCAGGGCAATCCCAGACAGAAGTACAGGTTGGGAGAAGAGCTCACTGAGAGCAGCCCTGCCAAGAAGGACTTGGAGGTTCTGGTGGATGAAAAGCTTGACACGAGCCAGCAGTGTGTGCTTGCAGCCCCGGAGGCCAACTGCATCCTGGGCTGCATCAACAGAGGAGTGGCCAGCAGGCTGAGGGAGGTGATTGTCCCCCTCTACTCTGCCCTTCTGAAGCCCCACTTGGAGTGCTGTGTCCAGGTCTGGGGCCCCCAGCACAAGAAGGATGTGGAAATGTTAGAGTGGGTCCAGAGGAGGGCCACAAAGATGATCAGAGGGCTGGAGCACCTCTCCCATGAAGAAAGGCCAAGAGAGCTGGGGGTGTTCAGCCTGAAGAAGAGAAGGCTCTGGAAAGACCTCATTGCAGCCTTTCAATACATAAAGGGGGCTTATAAAAAAGATGGAGAACAACATGGGCAGATAGTGATAAGACAAGAGGGAATGGTTTAAAACTAAAAGAGGGTAGATTTAGACTGGACGTTAGGATGAAAGTCCTCGCTCAGAGGGTGTTGAGGCACAGGAACAGGTTGCCCAGAGAAGCCGTGGATGCCCCATCCCTGGAAGTGTTCAAGTCAAACTTGTTTAATGCAAGGTGTCCCTGCCCATGGCAGGGGGGTTGGAATTAGATGATCTTTAAGGTCCCTTCCGACTTGAGCCAGTCTATGAGTCTAAAACAACATTTCTTATCTTGGAAGGTTAACATAGGTAAGGTTTCTGGAAGACTTGACATTGAAGGAGGGATTTGAATGATCAGAGGATCAGAACTGGAAGGAAATTCCACATTAAATGGCTCAGCGGGAGAGATGAAGTATAATTATGGATGCTGGAAAAGACTGCAAAAGTTGTATTTAGACAGGATAACTGTGAAGTACAAAGGTAATAAGACCATGTTCATTCTCTACTGGCAATGAATGAAGGACACGCTAGAACAACTTGTATGCTAATATAATAGATAGCTTTTTCACAGGCTCAGATGCACAGCTGAATTACTCCAGCTGGTTGAGATATTATATCTCAGCTGAACCATGGTAACTGACTATGTGCGTACTTTTCACTCATGGGAAGCATGAAGTAGAGTGTGCTAATAGGTTCAACCCTTTTTACATGTAGACCTCTGTTAGGGATTTTCGGCGGGGTAAGGATGTGCTTATGGTCACACACTCAGCAATTCTTTGTCATCATATCTCAGTTGTCTGTCCACGTCCTAATAGGCACACCTATTTCTGCTGTTTGCTATCTTCAGAACATGGGGCTTTGCGTAAGTGCTGAAAAGGAACAATTTTTGATCAGTGATTTATAACAAAGCAACCTACTTCAGGCATCCTGGGAAAAATAGGTGGAGTGGAATCAAATGTAATGAGTACTAAACAGAGAGATCCCTGACGGCTTGTGCCTGTAACTGCCCTGGAGAGGCAAAATGCCTCAGAGCTCTTCTGCTCAGTTGTCTGTGACGGTTTCACACCATCAGACTAATCCAGGGAGGAGTGAGCCCCAACATTTTCATTGGCACCAGTGCATTCCACATGCCTATTTACTCTGACTGTCATCAAACTAAAGATAAATCCAGCATTGATATTGCTTTTTTGAAAGGCCTACCAGACAAGATAAATTAAATACAAGCTGCGGCATTCTTTCTGAATTCACATAATGGGGGAATTTCAAAAACTCCAACATCGCCTCTCTTACCAAGGATTTGTAACCCATAATTACATTGATGCATGTGCCATGTCAGCAACAGCAGTGAAATTCACAGTATTTTTTATGTGAAATGTACTGTTTTATTGCATTAATTCACATTTAATGTGTACACAGTAATAACCATAAAGTATGATAACCAAAGTTATATATTTTCTTCAGAACCTTCATT